GAGGTTGGCTGCAGCAGAGATTAACATGTTTACAGCCTGGTACAAAAAAACAAAATAGTTCTGATTAGTTTTTGTCATCACTGGCACACACTGTACGGGGGTACTTTGTACATTTTTTTAAAACACAGCTCTTTTTTGATTTTATGAACGACATGTTATCCATAGTTAGGTGTGTAGCTAACAGGAGGTTTAAAACCCGCCTCAGCTCCAGCTCTCAGCCTGTTGTTAAGTTGACTGAAAGTTAGACTGAGACAGCATTTCCAGCATGGAGGCTGCTGCTGATGAGCCTCCAGCGCTCCCTGCAGGAACAGACGGCTGATGTCACTCAGGCTTTGTCCATTCATATTTACAGACTATGGTGGTGACGCAAGTACGTGCGCAGTAACTTTCCAGTTGAGAGTGTCATAGTGTTTACGTTAAAGGCTTTATATGTGATTTTTCACTCTTAAATATAATAGAAATCAAGTATATCCTCTGAAAATAACTCTGTGAGTCATGACTGTCTACAATGGGTAACACCCGGTGGGTGAATTGAAACCTGCTTCTGACGTTTCAGCGTGGCCACAGAGCCCGGGCATCCACGACTACTGCTTTGCCTATTTTCTCTGGTCATCTGCTAAACGCAACATGTGCTACAAAGAAATCTCTGTCATTCATGGGAACAGGAAAAGACACATCTGTCATAGACAACAAAATCTTAACAACTTGTCTCTGCTTAAGAAAGCCTCTTCTACCCACCCTTCATTTACTTTTGGCCTCTGGAACTGTCAATCTGCTGTGCATAAAAGTGAATTCATCCAAGCACTTGCAAAAATGTCAGACATTCAGGCACTTGCCCTTACTGAAACCTGGATCTGCCCAGAAAATACACCAGCTGCTCTTTCTGTTGACACAGTGTTCTCACACACACCCCGCTCTGTTGGACGTGGAGGTACAGGTATCCTCATTTCTAATACCTGGAAATTCAATAAACTGTTCCCACTGAGCAACAACTCCTCATTTGAATATCACACAATCTTGGTTACTGCTCCTATTAAAATGTACATTGCTATCATTTACCGCCCACCAGGGTGTAATCTGAATGATTTTGTTTTGGAGCTGGACATGCTACTCTCAGAAATCCCTGATGATGGAACACCACTGATTGTAATGGGAGACATGAATATGATGATCTAGAAACACAGTTAAGCAGTGAGTACAGTATGTTATTCTTCTTTTCTCTAGTCCCTCAATGAAACAACTTTTATACACGAGGGGAGGAGTCAGCCGGCCGTCCTGGCGATGTAAACAAAGTGAAGATAGGACTCTGAAAACTCTGAAAACATCACAGACAGTGGGACTCGGGTGTTACACCCATTGTAAACAGTCATGACTCACAGAGTTATTTTCAGAGGAGATACTTGACTTATATTACATTTAAGTGTGAATAATCATATATAAAGCATTTAAATGTGTACAGGAGGAATATTCTCTGGTAAAGGAGTTATACCTGGATCATTATGAGGGTTTATCCAAGTCAAGTTGTAGAACTTAAAGCAATATCTGTGTAAAAAAACCCTGTTGCTGAAGACGGCTCGTCGGCGTGACAGGGTCTTCATATCAATGCTGTGTGTAGTTCAACAGAATAACAATCTGAACTAAAGAGTGGACAAGAACATACTGGAGAACTGGGAATGTTTGGGTTTCTCACGATTCGATTCAGAATCAATTTCCGATTCAAAACGATTCTGGATTCATGGATCCATGAATTCAAAGTCTATTTTTGAATTAGTCCATACTTCAGGATCTAGCCCTTGGGGGCCCCCTACTGGCCTGGGCCCCCAAGCAGTCGCCTGCCTTGCCTGTTGACAAACAGTGTCTCTTCTAAGAAGGCAGACATGTCAAAGAAATGAGCGAGAGGAACGAGCTCCTTTCCTCTTGGCCTCAACATCCACATTTATCAAACAGAATCTAAGCTTTAACAGAGGAGACAGTCGGCTCCACAACAAGGTCAATGAACCCAGATCTACTCCCAATGTTGACAAAATCAAACTAGATTCAAAATTAAGCAACAAATAAAGATTACAGGTGGGATTAAAGGTGAGCATTAAGGATCACAAGAGGTAGAATACATTACATACCTAGTATTCTATTATTGTATTTTTTCTCCCTTTATTTAACTGACGTGTATATGTTTAATTTTTAACTTGTTATTTTTGATAATTATATTCCTGTTTCTGGAGCTGTTCCTCCATGGGGGATCATTAAAGTTTATTTTTATTTTTATCTTCATCTTTATCTTTATTGGGGCGGCAGTAAAGTATATTAGTATAGTATAGTAGTATAGTAAAGTAAATAAAGTAAATCTTAATCTTAATCTTTAGAAACATTAATCACATATGACTAAATCTACCTCTTTACAATGAACCCCTCCTACATCATTTATCATCCTGTTTATTTCAGCCTCCTCACCACTACATCATGTTGTTATGAAGCTTGTATTTTAATCATTTTCAGTTTTAATAATTTAATATTTCGTTTCTAATGCTTGTACTCAGAGAGCAAACCAGAGTCAAACATGCCTGACCAATAAAGCTGATTCTGATAATGGCCACAAGGGGGCAGAACATCCACACAGTTGAATGAGAGGCCACAGGTTGATGGACGACTGCTTGCTTGTTGTTAAGAAAAAGGAGTCATAAATAAGATTGAGTTGAAGATAATTAAGATTAAAAGAAGCGAGGCGTGAAAAGAAGAGGACAGACTGATTATGTCTGAGAAAGATTCACAGCTGGAGCTTTGTTCAGAGAATATATCGACGTGTAATTATGAGCAGAACAGGCTCGACAGCTTCGGTTAACTCAGGCTTTTTATTCCTCTCTGTTGGTTTTGCAACAGGCCTTAAGACATGCCACTCTGCTGCTTAGTAGGACTCAGAAGTATGTCAGGAATGCGGCTCAACTCTGATAAACTTCTGGCCTTTTAAGGGGGGGCAGAGGTTTCGTCATGGGGGGGGGGGGGGGGACACATCATGAGGGGCACACTGCAGAGAAAGACAAGACACATAATGTAATAAAAACAAGAAGGATGTGTTTAAAATGTGATGACAGAGAGGTGTGAATCATCATCAAGTGGTTTCACTGTTTTTTTGCATATCAGAGGAGATAATGAAGAGACAGTCACATGCTGGACACCAAACACAAAGTACTTCACACTTAGTGGTTCACTACACTGCTCATGCTGCATTATCCCTCTGTGTTTGTCTACTTTATAGAGGAAAATATCCTTAATAATAATGACAACATCAAGCTTTACAGCATGTTTAAAACCACAGAAATAAAGAAGATTAACAGAACAGGCGACAAAACAAACAGACAAGAAGAAAATGTTCAATATTTAATAAAACTTTAGTAACACAGACAAACCCACCGTCAGGACTAACCACTGACAGTGATTCATTGTGCACAAAATGTGACCCATCAGTAAACCCATCAGGTGTTCAGGCCTGCACTGCACCACCATGCAGCTCAACTGCGGCTGTGGCTCAGTTGGTAGAGTTGGTCGTCTCTTAACTGTGAGGTCGGGGTTCAATCCCCACCTCCTGCAGCCACATGTCCGAAGTGTCCTTGGGCGAGACACTTGACCCAAAGTTGCTCCCACTGCTTCATTGGCTGTGTGTGAATGGATGAGTTACAGCCTCTACCATCAGTGTGTGAATGTGGAGGTGTGACCTGCGGCGTAAAAGAGCTTTGAACAGACCAAGAAGTCTGATTGGACAAGAGTTTGTCCATGAGTGATGATAAAGTAGAACAACATCACTGGGACTTCTCACAACATGTATCCCTCCTCCTGAGCATGCAGGACGTCTGAATAGTCTGATGTCACTGGTTTCATGATCACATTGATGTCTTTTAACAAACAAGTAAAAGTTCATACAGCGGAGTAGCTGCTCTGTTGTAACCATGGACACCAACGGTAGAATAGAATTTTCGGGTTGCTTAGCAAGAGGTTAGTTTCCGTTAAATTACTAATACTTTGTATTATTATTGTCTGCTTGTAAAACTGTTTTATTAAAGTAATATCACACTGGAGGAGGAGATATGTACGGGTGGGATTATATTCAGACAGTTTCTTTACAAATCAATGTTTACGAATGTATACAAATAAAATTGAATTGAATGTAAAACAATCATTACTTCAATCAATATTCAATCATGTTGAGATCGTCTTATCCAGAGTTTCTGTCATGTGTGGTAAATGTTTTTTGTTGTTATATTTTGGCCACGAGAGTCCATCACCACCTCACCTCATAAACATAATTTAAGTATTTTCCCAAGCTTTTGCTGTATGTCAAAGCACTTTGACATGAATACAATCATTATTATTATTACTGTGGCCAATCATTGGTTGTTTTTTTTAAAGGTGCACTATGGAGTTTTGGTCGAGAAATGTGAAAGTTGGAGAAGTGTACAGATTCTGTGGTATATATTCATAACTCGATACACAAACTGTCCTCAGAGGAAAATTTGGTCCCTGGAATGATGTTTGAACATAAAATGCTACACAGGAAGTTATGGTGGTGGTCCCACAGTGAAGCCGTAACTCTCCTGGTAACTTTTTAGCTCCAAAAGGTTCCTGGGACTCATTTTTTCCTTTGAATAAAGTTTGTGTATTTAGTTCAGAAAATAAAGCATAGAATAGTTTCATTTATCCAACTTTCAAATGTCACTACCCATTCTACATAGTGCACCTTTAAGTTTGGACTCCATCAATAGTTAGTAGAGTAGAATAGTATCAGAGTGCAGTAATTTAAATAGTTGTGAAATCCTCTCTCTATCAGGCAGCTAATCTAGGCTAATCACTGATATCTAAAGACATATAGTGAATGTTCACGTCGATCCACGTTGAGCTGTCAATCGTCGATCGATCACCTCCCGATCCGCGCCTCTCGACCAATCAGGAGTCTCGGAGGCGGTCCGTTGCTAAGGAGGAAGTTTGGTTGAGTCTCCGCGTAGCAGCCATTCAGCGGCGGTGGCTGAAGCGATTGGACTGCGAGCGTCTCCCGCAACACTTTCTGTGGAATTTGAATTATTTTTTGGCACGGCACGGCTCGGGATACACAGGTGACGGCTTCAACGGGGCATCTTCCGGGTCGCAGCGGTGATCACAGGTATGTTTAATAACGTGTAACGGTTTGTTTAGCCCCGGTAACGCTCGTTAGCTCTCCCAAGCTAAGCAGCACTAGCTACGCGGCTGTTAGCTCCCCTCAGACACAGCCGATGGATTTTACGTTAGCTCTTATAGCTAACGAAACAGGAGAAAAGAGCTAAATGAAAGGCTGTGAGGCTGTGAGGCTGTTAACAGGGTGTTACAGAAGCCTCTCTCCTACCCTACCGAATGAGCTCACAGGTTAGGCAGCTAGCTAACGTTATTAAAGCAGCTAACGACACTCAACTTACCTGGTCAACTTTAAGTCACGGACGTTACTCAGCACGACACCGGTGTTATGAAGAGAAACGCATCCCTGACGAAAAATGTATGCACCTTACAGGACAATTCAAAATATAACAGGTACATTTTCTACACTGCATCAACCCTTAAATTTCCTCTACAGACACTTATATATATATATATATATATATATATATATATATATATACACTCTGTCACTGCACTATAACTTCCCTTATTTACACTATATCTCTATATCTATATTTGTTTAATTAATCAGTCACTGCACAATATTAACTGTATATATTCTTTCAGTCACCACAACTGTCTATTTATTTATTATTATTATTATTATTATTATCATTCATTCACTGAACAGAAATTGCTCTGGCCACTTTTTGCATACTTCTCTTTCATATCACCACAAATATATTGTTGTTGTTGTTGTTTTTGTAAACGCTGCTGTTTAAGATTGCTGCTCACAAAGTTTCGTTGTGTCCTTGTATACAATGATAATAAAGATTCTATCTGTCTATCAGGTTAATACTGCCAGTCTCCACAACAACAACGACACTTAACTTTATGAAGTGTAAACTTCAGACACTTTGTCATCGCAGATCTGCCACCAGAAATTAGATTGAGACAGTTTTTCTAAAACTTCCTCGAGGTGCATTCAATTCTCAGCAGGGATGCAATTCTTGGCATAACACCTGATGGAAAAGCTACCAGCTAGCACCTTATTTGACATAAAACCAACCAAAACTCACATGTAATGTGTGGTTGTGTAATACCAGTGTAACGCATGATTGATGTCCATTCAAAGATACCACATACTACAGTAAACATAAATATCACATTTTGATGAATGGCACCATTAGCTGTAAAGTCATTTTCTTAATTGTACAATTAAACAACACTGAGTGTACTAGACAATGGGTACCCAAACTTTTACCCCTAAAAATAAGGATGTCAGAGACCGGGGACCCCCACTGTCACTGGAGGTGGGTAAGCCATATAACGTAGCTTACAGACACACACACACACACACTAATAGACCTACCCAGACACAACAGCCTAGAAACCATAACACTATTATAATGTAATTTATTATAAAAAAGATGCAGGAAAGGAGCCACAGGTTGGATTTGAACCCGTGTCACCCGCTGGGAGGACTACAGCCTCTGTACAGTGGGGCGTGCACACTAAACTCTAGGCCACCGGCGCCCCAACATATAAGTTAATAGTCTAAATGAATGAAAGGTCAGTGTGTCTGTTCTCCAGTGTAATACAGTTCTAATGTTAATACTCCATAGATTTGTTTTCCTGGTTGTCTTTTTGTTTGTTTGTAGAGAGCTGTTAATGACAGTTTCACTGAAGTGTCCCTGATATGTAACACAATACGACATGTGTCAGAGGATCATAGCATGCACTGAGGAGTTTGTATTCATTGCAGTTAGGTTTAGTGACTTGGCAAGTTTGTAAAAAACCATGTGGTTAATGAAGACAGCTGCTCAGACGTTCAGCAGCCAGCCACACGGCAGGTTGATTCCCCCTGCAGATATCAACTGTGACTCACAGCCTTAACATTTTTGTGAGGTGTGATAATGCGCCGAGATTATTTCATATGGAAATGATAGCATTGCTCGGACCTTAAACTAGCAGTGAGGGGAGTTTTACTCCTCGGAGCGACCACAGATTGAGCGAGAGATTTCCCTCGTTGATCAGATAAACAGCGGCGGTCACATTACCTTCCACATGCAGCCTTTACAAAGATAGCTGCATGACAGATTGTGAGTGAAACCTCCTGCTCACTGGACACTAACCACTTTTTCAAAGCTCTTCCTAGCCACAATTGTTGACTTGTTACTTTTTTGGTTTATAAGCCCGTGATGAAGTTTGTGACTGGAATGAAGAGTTCAGAAATGATGTATGACCGTTAGAAGGGAATGTGATGGGTCTACCCGACAAAAAGGAAGAGGGATGTGGGAGTCCCCCCCCCCCTCCAAATTCTGCGAGTAACTCATGGCTTAGCTCATCTCACAGAATGAGGGAGTGCAAGATTGGCTCCGTGCCTCCAAAACCCACTGTGCGAGCATGTCAGCTGTTTGAGAGAGGAGGAGAATGTGAGAGTTTGCATCCGTCCGAAGCTTTGTGATTCACTCTGTGGGAGAAAACCAGCTCCACTGTCAGCAGCTCGCCCTGTTCTCTAAGGAGAGGCCCTTTTCTTGGCAGTGAGATGTGCATGTGAATGCATGAGTAGTGATGCAACATGGCTAGATAAACTCGCAGTGTGATGACGATGCAATCAAAGGGCTTCACTTTTGTCCCCTGATAGCAGCGAGATAGTCGAGCTTGTTTGCCACAGATGGTGAAAGCAGTAGCGAGTGTCGTTGTCGGCGTAGCTTCCAGCCAAGTGTTAACCTAATAGATATGACAGCAGATATGCCTTCCCTTTGTGTTTCTGCTCCTCTGTTACTCCCACAAATGTTCTCCATCAGGGCCATTTGTCTCCTGTGACCGTCTCCTGACTGCTCACCTGTCGCTTTAATCCTCATTTTTTTGGCCGCAGTTTCGATGCGGGCCATTGAACATGCTGGCTGACGTTGTCATCTATAAACCGTGCTTTCTGTCAACATCACTGCTCGCTTAAAGTGTGGGCACACTGAGCATATTTTAGAAGGATGGGATGAGTAGTCAGATATTTGTTTATTCAGTTTGAGTAGTGTGGGAAGGTGAGAATATGGACGTGTAAATTCAGGTGCACAGAGACACTTCAGTATCAGGTTTTCATTCATGTTAAAGCAGCTGTTTCTTTTCTATTTAAATACAGCTAGAAAAGAGTTTTAAGTTATCTATCTATTCTAAATCCCTTTCAGACAGACAGGAAGTAGCAGACCAAGCAGCAGAGTCCTCTATAGATGCTATAATGAGAATATTTGTTTTTGTATCAATGCTTCGTGTAGTTGAAGAGAATCTCAATGTGAAGTAAAGAGAGGAGAAGAACATCCTGGAGAACAGGAAACATGCAGCAGCAGGTTGATTAGAGCACGGAGATGGTAGAGGTGGCGTGCAGACAGTCTATGGTCGCACTCCCACTGGTTCCTCCCACTGGCTCCAGGTGAATTCTCCTGATTATATCCTGCTGTGTTCTCACATCAGCTCACTCTGACTTTCTGCAGAATAAATACGAGGAGGCTGGAGGAGAAACTCCGGGTGAAGTCTGAGTGATTCGGCTGTAAATATCAGGAGTTTTCTGTGAGTGTGAAAGCCCTTACTGCCCGTTAAACTATGCAAAGGAAGATGTGAACAAGGGCCGTTTCCACATATACGTATACTCTTGAAAATATGTAGAAAGTCTCAGACAGGCTGTCCCTGAAATCTTCCTGAGGGGCTCACACATGCTCCTCACAGCAGGAGATTGATAGACATATTTATAATCAGTTTAACCAGCTAGTCATTTAGCGGCTAACTAGAGAGGGTGATAACTTTAAGTCCCTTCGTCGGCTTTTCACTCACACCCCACAAACTCGATAACGATGGAAAAAGGCCTGAAGAATGAGAATATAGAAAACATCTTCATGTTTGAGGCATGGTTCATCTTTTGAGGCTGTTGAGTCTTTTTTTGTAAAGTTTAAGGGTGGCATCATGGTGGTTTTAATGGCCTTAATGTCGATTAGGGGGCAGATTAGTCAATGATTAGAGAATCATTTATTCTCACCCTCTGCTCTGCTAAAAGCTGTAACATCTTGGGATGAAAAGTTGCTAAAACACTGTTCAAAAAACACATTCTCCAAAGCCATAGTGTGATTATATAATCTGATTTCACTCAAGGTAAATGTGACAAAAATGCACCTGAGGCTGTTTTTAAACACACGTGACCTGTCATATATTCTATCAGAGGATAAACAAACACAACCAGCTAAGAAACCTCTCATCACTATACAACCAGGCCCTGAAAATAATGGACAAAAAACCTGTCCGGTGGCATCACTGTCACATACTGAAAGAACACAATCTACTCAGTTTTGAGAGCTTTATGCATTTATGTTTCCTCAAACTTGTTTTTAAATGTATCAACAATCTGGCCCCTGAACCTCTCTCCAGATATGTTCAAAGACAGGACGGAAACAGGGTAACGAGAAGAACTGTGAATGGAGACTGTAGCGTACAACATGGTAGATCTACGTTTGGTCAATCAGCCTTCTCCATCAAACGCTGTAAACTCTGGAACACATTACCACCTGAAATAAAATTAATCTCCGACTTAAAATCTTTTACAAAACAGGTGAAATGCTCAAAGCAAGCCAGAGCTGTACCCACTTTTAATGAGTATCTTCAAACTTTTTTAAACTGGTTTATAATATTTGTATTGTTGTACATGTATTTTAATGTATCCTCATATGGTGTTATGGGGTTTTATGTAACTGAATGTTGTACATTTCAATCTGTTTGTTTCCACAAAGGCCCGACTGTGGACACGAGTTGGAAATTAGCAATAGCTCTATACTCTTTATGCAGCACATCAGTTTCATGCTTTGTATTGAAATTATGTTAAATTTCATTGTCCCTATTAAATAAATAAATTCACAGCCACTGCTGCAGGAGGGAACTGGTAGCTTTGCATAATTTTATTGAAGGCATACTGTACACACTTGTAGGATGCACACCCACATATACACACACACACACACATATATACGCACACATACACAGACCCAC